AGAAATAGATGTGACTGGCATTTGTCATCCTCTGAAAATTCCTTGTCAGTTTTCCAAATGACATTTTGGTTGGTTTTACTCTAAAACCTCTACCATATTTCTCACCAGCTCAACATTGTCACTGTCTAGCTCCTACTAAAATCCTAAAGAAAGTAATGCCTCACTTTGCCTGGCACTGTGCCTGATGGAACACGCTGATCAAGTAGGTGGTCATATGAAGGACAGAGTCCAGGCTTGGGGCCTGAGCATGTTCAGATTTTCTTAAGAGGCTTACTTTCCAGTCGCTGGATGCCAGTTTACATTAGAGTTCTTGTTTGTGAGGAGAGAAGTTCTGTCCTTTTTAGTTTCTCAGAGTGTTTTCTGAAGCACAGTATACACATGTACAGCCAGTTATTAATCTGGGACTTGATACCCTTATGTTGGGGAGAACAACTTCTCCAGACTACAGTTTTAAATTTAAAGGAAAAGGTAAAGGAAGGAAGGAAGGACACACAACTGAGTACAACATGAAACAAACCAGTACAAATTTGCAATTTAGCATCTTTGTCTGCTGAACTTATATGCCACTAAGACCTGATAAAGAGAATTATGTAAATTAGAAAATATCTTCTCAGACCTTGGCAATTTTCGGACATGAGTAAACCATATACTCAATAGGCTAATTAACTCCTGATTGATAGCCCCTGAAGGGCCATTGCAAAATCAAATATTTTCTACCTGTGTCTAGGAGTTCTCAAAAAGCAAGACAAAACAAAACACAAAACACTTCCCTAGGGCCTCCACCTGGTGACCTTTTATAAAACTTGCAAGACTGAAATTTGATGACTAGTAAAGAACCACTATTTCTTAACAGAACTATCTGGAAGGAAACTGAAACTCTGTTGTGTGTGTGAATTTAAGTGTGGGTCTGTTTGGAGCACCTCTAAAAACCAGAGGGCAACCTGTGGGAGCCAGTTCTCTTTCACTCTGGTAGCTCTAAGTATGGAATTGAGGCCCTCAGGCTTGAGCTCCAGATGCTTTTACCTGCAGAGCTATCATAACTGCTCTGTTTTGTTTCGAAAAAAATGATACAATTATATCAATTTCCCCTTCCCTCCCTTGCTGTCTTTCCAATTAAAAGGTTCTTTTCTATTTAATTTTTTTCACATATATAAACATATGGTCACATTTATATTTATAAATATATATTGTCTTAGTCACTGCTCTATTGCTTTGAAGAGACACCACGACCACATCATGGCAAGAAGCATGGCAGCACGCAAGTAGACAAGGTACTGGAGAAATATCTCAGAGTTCTACATCAGCATCTGCAGGCAGCAGGAAGACAAAGGGCCACTGGGCCTGGCTTGGTCCCTTGGAACCTCAAAACTCAATCCCAGGGATATACTTCCTCCAAGAAGACCACACCTCCTCCAACAAGGTCAAACTCCCTAATATGAGCCAGTATACAGAGTCCATTCTTATTCAAATACACACACACACACACACACACACACACACACACACACACACATACTTCTCACTATGTAATCCATGCTAGAATGAACCCTATAGGTGATTTATATATATTTCTACACTAGGACCAAAGCATAATTCTTTTTTTCTTTTTCTTCTTCTTCTTCTTCTTTTTTTTTTTTTTTGCCTTTGTCTTTTTCTTTCTTTCTTTTTTATTTAAATTTGAAACAAGGTTGTTTTGCATGTCAATTCCAGTTCCCTCACCTTCCCATCCTCCCCTATCACCCCCACCAAATCCTAGCCCATTTCCTTTCTGCATGATTCTTATTTATATTTGTAATCACGATATAATCTGAGAATTTAACAGAAAATGTCTGTCAAAATTTCTTTTTAAGAAACTTCTTTTACTATTTTCTTCTAAACTTTTAATTACAATTACATGAATACATGTTTGTTTTTGCACGTGTGTGTGTGTGTGTGTGTGTGTGTGTGCGCTTTTGGATGCATGTGGATGGACATTCACACCACAGTATGTTTGGAAGTCAGAAGACAACTGATAGTAGTGTTGCTTCTTTTTGTCTGTCACATGGGTTCTGGCAATCAAACTCTGGTCATTAGGCTTGGTGGCAAGTGCTTGGTGGCAAGTGCTTTTATTAGCTGTGCCATCTTGCCAGTCCTCTGCTTCACATTCTGTATTTTAAAGAAATCCCAAAGTCTGCCTTCAGATTCAGTCCCACACCATTCCCCCCCCCCTGCTGCTGCCCTGTTCCCCAACACCTGTCCCCTCTCCCTGCCCTGCCTGCCCACACCTCCCTCCTCTCCCTGTTGCTACCCTGATCTCCCACACCAGCTTCTTCTCCCTCTATTTCTGTCCCCACTCCCCTAGAAGTCTCAGCATTTTTTAAACTACTAAGTTTTTGTTTCCAATTTTGGTCAGTTTGTTCATTGCTTCATAAATGTAATATGTATTCAAGTACTTGAATTATTTTTATTGAGATGATTTGGTAAAATTCAGAAAAAATATTTTAATGCCCTTCAATGTTTTATACATAGACAATGTGACAAGTCACAAATATTGTTGTGCAGGAAAAAGCAGGATTCTGATTTTATTTCTTAATAGACACACGATTTTTGGTTGTTGCATTCCATCTCCCTGTCTTTCTAATAAGTATCTAACTGTTCTAAGAAACTATTTCTAAGCCTAATTTTGCTACCATTTGAAAGAATTAGGAGATAGGGTTTTGTTGAAGCAAGTGTGTCATTAAGGGTAGGCTTTGAGGTTTCGAAATGCCCACTCTAAGCCCAGACTCTCCATTCCTGTAGCCTGCAGATCTCTCAGCTACCTCTCCAGCACCATGTCTGCCTGCATGCTGCCAGGCTCTCTACCATAATGGCAATAGACTAAAACTCTGAAACCATAAGCAAGCGCCAATTAAATGTTTTCCTTTATAAGAGTTGCCATGGTCACATTGTCTCTTACCAATAGAACTAAGACATCTTGTAACGTGTATGGGTTTTTCTGCCTGCCGCCTCCCGGTCTTGTCCCGCCGCCATGCCGCCAAATAATACACAGAGACTCTGTATTTGATACAATACTGTTGGCCCGGTTACTTGTTTCTTATCGGCTAGCTCTGCCTTAATTATTAACCCATTTCTGCTGATCTATGTATTTCTCTTACCGGGGAGCCGGCGGCATACTGCTTTCTTCAGACTCTCCATCTTGACTCCTCCTTCCTACTTCCTATTTTCTCCTTGTCTCCTAGTCCCTCCTATCTTCCTTTCCTATTGGCCAACAGTGCTTTATTATTAACCAGTATGAGAAACATATACAGAATGACATCTCCCATCAACATCTCTTCTTTATTCCTTGGGTACTTGTATATATGCACATACCCAGAGAACACACACACACACACACACACACACACACACAAAGAGAGAGGGAGAGAGAGGGAGAGAGAGATAAAACATAAAATATATTTTTGAAAAAGACAACTCAATCAAAAAACTATTATGGATTGTTTCAATGTTAGTGCATAAATATTGGGGTAATTAAAAATTGTACTCTAACATTTTATATCACACTCACCTCTTTCTTCTCCCCACCCCTATCTTTTCTGCATTAGAAAATTATCTGTACCTTCTCTGTGACAAGAGTGGCTTTGAGAGTATCCATCCTTGTATCACTGTTTGACAACAAAGACCATGTTCATCAGGTTTCTTACCATTGCACATTCCTCTACAGTCACTAAAATCAAGCAGTAAGACTTTAATCATTAGAGAAAATGCAAATGTTTTCCTGGGACTTTCTGCATTTATATTAAAATGTCAGACCTCACTTTTGTGCTAGATACCACAGGAATGTATATGATAAGCCCCAACAGCAACAGCCTGCTCATGTGGTGGTGGCAAATGGAACCTATTAGAGAGTCACCAATGATTATTTAGAATCTTTCACCTAAGAGACCAAGTGCAGGCACAGAGGTAAAGGATGTTGGCAGCCTCACCTGTGATAAGCACATAAGCTCCTAGGGAGTGGGTGGGACACCAGTCAATAGCAGCTTGGTACGAAACATTCAGTATGATACGAAAATGTACAGTCCCGTTTGTATTTATACAGAAGTATCCATAGTCTGTGTATGTGCCCCAAGGATAAAATAAACAGTCACTTGAACCTGTGTTCTGGCTAAGCATTCTATATTCTCATCTGTATGCTCAAAATGTTCCCTTCTGACCAAGATATCCCTCTAATTGAAGTTATAAGCATTTCCTTCTCTTCATCCATGTCATTTGTACACCCTAGAAGGCATCTGACCTCACAAGCCCCTGTTTTCTAAATTTTATATTCTAGAAAAACAGTTTATTACCACTCTGTCCCTGTTCAGTAAACTCCAAGGACCAGTGCTATTATGTTTTAAATGGGGGCTTAGGGAACCCCACTAGCTTCTCTGCTGTGAATAGCTAGCTAGTCATTTGCACACTAACCCATGGAGCCACCCCTTCATGAAAAAGAATAATTGGCATCAATCACACTTACCTGAACACACAAAAGGTAGGTTACCCAGCCATAAGGAGCCCAATCACATAGATGCACTTTAAACAATGCAGTGCTTAGAATTTATGCAAATAAAGCCTAGGGGTAGTAGTGCTTCCACTCAGATCTTCTCTATCCCCTCAATAGAGTTAGCTGTGCACTCACAGCTAGATCAAATCAGCAGTTAGTTATAATGCAGGTACTATGCAGAAGTTGTTGAGAACATATATGAAACTCACTTCTCAAAAAGTAGAAAAATGTGGCTTCCAGGGAACGTATAACAACTGTGTCTCCCTGAACAGCCAAACGATTACTACAGTATGCAAAATCCATTGCAAAACTAATGATTGTCTTAAGGGGTGTGGAAAATGAAAGGGAGAACAACTACCATCACACAGATAGATGGATTCCAGTGTGAGTCAATGGGCACATACTTAAATATACACGCAGTTAAACAAAGAAGGGAACCCCAAAACAATGAGAAGGACAACAACGGAGATCATTGCTTAACCTGTTTTGTCAGAGCTGGTGGTCATGGTATTGGTAGTGATGGAAGTGAAGGTAGTCTTTGCGCTGTCCTTGGCAGTGACAGATTTCTGCTTATTTTTCATGGCTTCCAGGGCTTTGAGCTTCTTGGCATGCTTCGTGCCTTTGTAGTGGGCCGCAGCCTGGCTCTACAAAGGAGAACACAATGAACCATGCGATCAGGCTCATTTCTAAACTGGCATTCTCTGTATTACTGCAAATACAGACTCTTTCAATAACAGGTACCTTTCAAGCTAATGCTGGCCAGGGCTGTCTTAGAATGATGCGTAGAAAGCAAAGGGAACTGAATTGTAAGAGGCAGAAGGAATAAATATCCACTCGCTTCTGTTATGAAACTGAATATTAACACATCAACATTTTCTTTTTGGAGTATGTGGGTATAAGAATTTATACCTGCATTGCCTGTGTTCTGCCAGCAGAGATGCTGGGCTCCCAAGAAGAATTAACAAAGGCTCTAGCAGAACCTTTCTCACCTTCTCTGTTCATAAAATGTATTTCCTCTTACTGCAATGTGACTGATGGCCACTCACTGGGTTTACAAGAAAGAGTCACATAGTCGAGGATGTGTGTACTCAGGAGGCTGAACTTAAAACCTCAAAAGCAAACACAGGCCTGAAATCCAAAGGGGGAATGGAGAAGCAAGGGGATTTCCTGCTTCTTTCCTTTTGCTTCCTACCAGGGCCTCCTCAGAGAGTGCAAAATGATGTCTCCCTCTAGCATGATACCATGGTGAGGAGGCTCTGCGATTCTTAAACTCCTAATGTGATCAATGCAATTCTTTCACCTGTGGCTGCCGAGATTCCATTTTAAAGGCAATCTCTGTTTCTTAAGTCTGCTATTTATTATGTGGATGGGGCATTGGTTGAGGCATTGTCATTTACATGGCTGAGGCTAGTTTGGAACTTGAGACTTCCCTGCCTCTGCCTCCCCACTGCTGGGATTTATAGACATGCAGCATTCCCCTGGCATGTTTTCTTAAAACTGTTTTTAAGAAGTTTAAGAGGTACATTAATTGAAACAGAAAGTCACCTGTTATGAAATACTTATTTACTAATGTTCGGTGAGAATATTAAAGCCTTTGCCTGAATGGCACATGGGTGAACAAGGAGAGTATTAAATCCCAAAAGTTTGAAGGACAAAACATTTTATGTTTACTTTTTAAAAAACAAATCTCCTTGAAGGACTATTTCTTTTGGGTTACCCATTACTTTCCAATGCACATTCAAACTAAATTTCTCATTTTATTAGTAAAATAAGCAATGATTTCATCGTATCAACTAGAGCAAACAGAGTCATTCATTTTAATATATTTTAATAAATGAAAAAATCCACAATTTAATTTGCATCATTCTGAAAAGATGTTCCCAAAGGCCTAGGTACCTTTATTGAAAGAACACTGAATAAGGAAATTATATATTAGGAACATTTTTGAACAGACAGCACACTCATGCACCAGGTATACAATTCCAACAACACAGAACACTAGAAGACATAGTGTGATCCCAACAGGAAGTTCAAACATGCTGAAATTAACTGAGAAGTCAGTGACAGGTTGCATTGCCCTGATACTAAGGGGGAAAGCCATGCTGACAGAATACTTAGTTTTGCTTTTCTTGTCTACTTTTCAACTCACTGCATTGCACTGTAAGTGAAGCACAAACTACAATAGTTTATATTCACACAGGAACTGGATGTGTTCTCAGATCACTGTTGCACAATATCACTTAAAACAAAGTACTTCCCCCTGGTAATTGACAGGAATGTTTTTTATAATTCATATTTAAAAATTGAATTTTAATCAACAAGGCTACTATCTCCACTTATGTCTTCAAAATACACCTATGTTTCAAATGTTGAGACTAGTTCATTCTGCAGACCAGGGTGACTTTGGCCTCATACTTGTGTTATTCATGCTTTAGTCTTTAGTTACAGGTGTGTTGCAGCCATCATGCTTAGCTTAAAAATGAACATGTTAAAAGATCCTAGAAAAATACACATTTTCAGGGGGTTATAGGAGATTTTCCGTAATATAGCATACTCTAGGTGAATGTCTTCCCTTTTGAAATTAAGACCCTTATCCAAAAAAAAAATCCTATAACAGAATGAGCATAGTCCACAAAAAAATAAATGAATAAATAAAGCCTTTATTTTCACAGATGCAGAGGCCTGGGGTTCTCTGGTGACTCTAGAAGGGTTAGGATGGGAGCGCAGAATAAACAGGAGTTGGTAGGTTCTTGAATGGCACATCTGATATGTTGAGATTAAAAACATAACAATTAAAATGCATACCCACATTCATGTTCACCGAGTAGTAGCCTTGAAGGACCAGTAATCAGTCAGTCACTTTGGCTACAGATTACCTCTGCTTTTCTGACTAGGCAATTAAGGCTTGTCAAAATCAGAAAGAAAATGTCCGGTGGTAGAAAGGTGTAAAGTAATAATCTGGCATTCCAATATATGCCTACTGATCCTAATTGCTTTGTCTGCCTTGATTCAAGGGTGTGATAGTTTATGTGAAGGTTTGGAAATCTAACTAACTTGCCTTATGCTCAGGTCATGTGACTGACTGCAGAGGTGATTCAGCCATATCTCCCTATCTGTCGCTGTAGACAAAGCTGAAGCCTGAGTAGCAGTGCTTCTGAGAAATTTTCCAATGCATCACTTGGCAAAGACCTCATCTGCTTCTCTTTGGGGCAGAGAGATGCAAGTCAGTCTTGCTATACCCCAGCATACTCTGTTCCCTATGAGACTATTTTGGGTAGTAATTAGTCAGTTTCTGAATTATATCATTCAGAATCCTGAAGAGACAAGCAAATGCCCATTTTTAAATTCAAATGATGTCATCACCAAATCAGCAAGTATGCTTATAATTGGGATGACTTCAGGATTCTGTACTTCATTCCCAAACAGAATCATATGCACAGAAGCCATTGTAGCAGAAGTGTGTGGTAACAGCTGCCTTTAAAAGATGTGAAATATGAGACCATGGTGTCACAGGAATCATTGCATGGATTTGAATTTTGAGCTGGCATATAATATCAAAGAGCTTAACAGGCGTCATTCCAGAGGCATGTCCTGCATAGCAGGATGATGCCATTCCAAGTGTTGCCTCCACACCCTGTTTCTCAGTGTTATCACAAATTTCCTCACCTTCAGATTTTATCATGCATATTTTAGCCTGGGCAAACCTCAGCTTCCAGAGTGGCTACCATTAATTGGTAAGGGGCTAACACTTGAGAGGGGAGTTGTTTATTAAAACATAAAGTAGCAGTTTACTGATGTAGACAAGAATCATCTGCATCCCTAGCATCCTGAGAGATTTTATAAAGTATGGCATGTTATACTTCTACAGACAGTTCTTTATAAATTCATGTTTTGTGCAACTTTTACTTGGTATGCTTCTAAAAAGTTAATTTTTTTTTTTTAATGTAACCATGTGTACCTGGTTAGCACAAACAGCCAATGTTTAGGGCTCATCTGGCCTTAGTTTATGATATCATGAATTTGCATACTCTTTAGTCCTAGTAAGGAATTGGAAAAGTGCACACTTTCAGTGTCCATTCTAGGCTTCTTCAATCAGAAGCTACACAGAGAGAAGGCTATTATACAGGTTATCAGATATTTAAAAGCCTGGTGGTCACTGAGGATGGGCACCTCTCTCATAATCAACACCTTGTAAGACAAGGAACTGAAACAGACCTGTGGGCTGCTGCAAAGAATGAAGCCTAAGTCCACCTCTTGCTCTGGGTGGGAACATGATCTTCTGAACTGCCCAGAAGATCATAAGATTACTGCCCAGTGAATGCTTTCTGGAAAAGGACAATGACATACCATTGGATTCTCTAAAGAGTCTGTTTATTACCTAAACAATAAGCACCCCTCAGAGAAGCTGGGCATTCAGGAAACAGAAAGCCTAGCTGGATGAACATGTGGATTATCATAGTGGTGCTCTTGTCTCCTCCCAGCTGTGAGACTGTTCTGTGTGATGGCCCCTACCCTTCAGAGTGCCCACTGTTATTCTCACTGAACCCCTCTGGTATACACAGCTCTCCATGTTGCATCTGAACTTATTCAACAGTTGAGGATGGAGACGTGGCTGATAAGATAAGAACACTTGCTGCTCTTGCAGAGTACCTAGGTTGGGTTCCCACTCCAGGCTGTTCACAATTGCTGGTAACCCTAGTTCCAGGGGATCTAAAATTCTGACATCCTCTTTTGCCTTTTTTAGGCACTTGCACACATGTGGTATGTGGAGTGCACATAGAAGTCACACACACACACACACATTCACGCACACACACATGCACACATAAATAAAATTTGAAATTGTTCAACAGCAACAGAGAACAATGGGACCTGAGAGCAGAAGGGATGCCAGGATATGATCCTGTTAACAGGGACTAAGTTTTGACCGTAGCATAAGTGTTTTGAGTAATTCTCATTCATACTAACATCTTTGAGCTGCTCATCTGAGTAATTTTTTATAGGAATTCACTCTTGCCAAAGTACCTGCTGGGGTGCAGAAATGAACACTCCAACAATGGTGCTTTGGCTTTTTCCTCTTTCCTCTCCATCTGCTTACAGTACAGGGATGGGCTTGCTCTTAGTTTCTGATATTTGACTTACGCATTCTTACAGTGAAGTGCTAGTCACACAGACCTTTCCCATCCCCTATCCTCCCTCCCTCCCTCTTACAAAGGAGACTGAAGGTTATCTACACCTGCCTCATCCAGAAAGGTTTTTACCTATGATCTGCTTGAGAGTTTAGGATGATAAATTACCTGAGAAATAAGACAGCTTTCTGTTTTCCCTCTATTCTATTTCCTTACCATCCAGTAACTCATCGCCACCATTTCCCTAAACCCAAACTCCTGTTCACTTCAAAATCTTAGATCCATAGCTTAGGAAGCTATCCACATTGCAGCTACCAACAACCTAGAGCCTTACTCCAGCCTGTCCATGATAACTATTCCACAGACTTAAATTAGCAAAATCTTCAAAGGTCCACATCTCCAAAGTATGAATTTTTAATTGCCAATGAAAAAATAATTTGAAGATTAAATAGTTCTACCCATAAATACTTGCAGTGTATGGGGTTGGCAAGCACAGGAAACAGCTTAGTATTCTT